AAATGAAATTGTCTCATTCACGCGACTGGCCTGATTTCGACGCAGTCAATGCCTAAGTAAACTACTGATGAAGTCGCGTGAAAGAGATAATGTCAATTGCACGCGATACCCTTGAATGCTCATCCATTTAGTGGTCTGATTTCGAGCCCCGGACAGCCGAGATTTACTGCGGTTTAATCCACTTGTCGGCGAATTAAATCTATCGGCGCTAGATAAGATTGTGCACCTCGTAGATCTTTTCATTTCTGTTGCTACCGGAGAGAAAGGTGAAGATCTCGAAAGGAAAATATGTGAGTTGTTTGGAAAATGTTGCCTATGAATCTCAATGAGATATAAGGTCACGTGGTATCGCGCGGGGGGAGGAGGAGGAGCAAAAAGTGGACATTTTATCAGTTTTGAATACGATATATTATAAAAATAATGACACAAACAACAAGAGTGCCATTAGCCGACATTGGTATTGTTATCTTTTCATCGATTATGCGCATTATATGCATCCTAGAACAAATCTGAAGAAGTAAACTCGAGTCCCGGCATCCTTCGGAAACGGGTCAACGACGACGACGAATTCTTTCCACGAATAACAGTACAAATGGAAAGACGGGATCGAAGGGGCGAGGCGAGACCGGCGGGGCGACCTATTTCAATCAATAATCCCTTCTTCTAACACGAAAGTGGGTTTTATACAACCGCCGCTGAGCGGCGAAAGTCAACTTCGTAATCCCTGAAAGAAGAGGCCGCCGAGCCGGTTCCGGATCGCCTCGGTAAATCTTCTTTGCTTCGGCGCATTCGAACAGAAATCCGCCCGGGCTCGGAAAAGTGAGAAAGGTCCACTCGATAAAGCTCGGGGACCGCAAGCTCGAATGAGAGAGAGGGAGAAAGCGAGAGAAAGTCATGGGACCTCGCCGTCCTCACCAGCAGCGCTGCGTCGTTCGACAAATCAGGCGACCCAGGGTGGCTTAATTTGAGCACCTTGACTCTCGCACCCGACTCGGTTACCGGATACAAGCACCGCTGTGTACACAAGGCCGGCCATTGACTTTTATAAACGATCTTCCGTGCCGATCTTCGTTACAGCTTCGATTTCGCGCAACCTACTTTCATGACGTGCAGTTAAAGCTCGCGCTCAGAAAAATTCTCTGATGATTGAAAAGTAGAAGCTTCAGATTCGAACATTTCAATTTCAACACTTGACACTTTGCATGTAGTAATTAGAAAAATAATATGTTAAGTGAAGCATGTTTCGTTCAAAAAAGAAATTTTGCTCGTTAAATGAAAGCATTTTCTTAGATATTGCGATAAACTATGCATTAGCAAAGTTTTAAAATATTATTATATGTCATATTATTGACGTTTCAATATGGTGCTGTATTTTAAAACATTTCAGTAGCATTACTTTCATCGAACAATATTTAAACAGTGTAAAGAAAATATTTTGCATGAGAGTTACAAAATATTGAAAGATTTAACTGCATTTTGTGCTTCTCCGAAAGCTCCGAGTTGAAAGAGTTTAATGTCAAATATAGAGTAGCATACTTTTCGTGGTCACAAAAACAATCTTCTCGTGACGTCGAACATCAATCATAGCATTCAGTTCAGGCCTAATCCATCGATCAAACCTATTCCCGTCATCAAGAAATAATTCGTAAGCAATCAAAGTTGTTTCAGCGATGACTTATCACCTTTCCTAGAAAAAACTTATTCATCTCTGTTTCTTTAATCCCGGAACTTTTTTTACAAAAGATATAAATGTTTTGTGAATTACTCTTACATGGCTTTTAGATATTCTTCAGTTATTATTATTTAAAAAAAATTACTGACAGAATGTCAACAAAAATTTATTATGATTAAATGAATAGAAGTCCACGAAACAAAAACATTAATAAACTAGAAAATTTTACGTTTGCATCTTGAAATGAAGAATAAGCTATACTCACGATAGCAGGATACTGGAAATGAAAAGGGTTATATATAAAGTTTTCGGATCTTTTCATTCGCGGCCTCGAAGCGTCGCGACGTGCACAAATTGCGCCGTAATTACGTTACGTTAATTAATCCATCGTTCTTTTTGCTCTTTCTCTCTCTCTCTCTCTCTCTCGGCTCTCCTTTAGTCCGACCGCGCGGTCCTGCCCCCTTACTCTCCTCGACGAGCTCTTTTAATGCCGCAGAAAGTCCCGATGAAACGGAAATGAGTTACCTTACTTCCGTTTGCGGAAGATTTCACGGTGAATTTGCGAATCCCCGCGGCGCTTCGCTCCAACCCGTGGCATTCGGCGCGATTCAGCAGTCTTGTTCAATCTCCCCCGCGGGTTGTGAGAAAGGAAAGGGTGGTCGGGTGGCGCCAGGGAAGAATCCACTATTTTCCCTATCGTCGAATCTTTCGACGATTCGTGTTACTCGCGTGCGATTCTATCCGTCGATGCGCAAAGCCGAGCTTATCCGACTCGGCCACTCCTATTCGACAAGTCATTCAAATAGAATTGTTACGCAAACTTTCACTTTGTTCAAGCATCTCTCTTTCACTTTACTCATCAAATGAATTAATTTGTCGGAAAAAAACTTGGGGTTTGTTGACTGAATTATAGCTATGGTTTCTGTAAACATTTGTAAAATTTAACCGCAATTTAAATTAATCCTCTGTTGATCTCTATCAATTATTCTTGTCGATTTGATAATTTGAAGATTGGAATATGAAGTCAACAATTTATTCTTTTTATTTGACTGCAAGGATCTACATATATTTATCCGTATCAAGAAAGATAGCTTCAAGATTTATTTTGAATTTTTTAACGCTGCTATTTTTAACTATAAATCAGAGATGTAGAATAATATCGTGTTTCCGTTATACGCGATAGATTCGTTCTGTGTATTTGCTAATTAAATTTGTTTCAACGCTTTGTGTTCCGCAAACACCACGTATGAAATCAGATGGAAAAGAATTATTTTTGCCTCGCGTCCAGTTTTGTTTTGTTTTTTTCCTCTCGTTCGCATGTAACCGTATCTTCGTTTTTCGTTGCACGGTAGCGCCAAGTGCCTTTAACGACAATAGTAACGACGACAGCTCGCAGGGATTTCAATTTTGCAAGCACTCAGTATAATGCCGGACGAATTGCCGGCGTTGCTGAAAATAACAGGGATTATCCGCGACGTACACAGCCGTCATCTCCCATGACGATAACGATAATGCCGGTCCCGGCGCACACTACAAAGTATAATCTAATTATCTGCCCGGCGCGACGCTTCCCAGCGCTTTGCGCTACGCCGCGTAATGCGCAATTGCATCCAACGTATGGTGCACGTCGGTTGCATCTTCATTACGGCCGCGTATGCATTTATAGTCGCGCGACTCGTTTCCCCGTATCGTCGATTGCGCGAAGCGCGCCATTTTAAATACGACGATAATGCAGCAATCTCGAAATAACGCCAATAATATAATTTTACATTAATATTACCTTGAACCAATAAAAACTAGTGCATATTTTTTAATTAAGTTTAATTGTTGTGTCTCCATAATCTTAATAACCATATTTTTACGTTTATTTTATTTCTGGCGATTATGAGTTTATCATATTTTTCGCTAATTTTCCTCGAGCAAGAGCAACATTATTAAGTTTTTAAAATAGCATTATGCCATTACGCATTTTTGTTCTATCTTTCTTTTTAATTTAGATTAACGCGCTTTCTTTCGTCGCACTCGTGGATCGATGCAGTCACAGACGTTGCATATAAAACTTGTAGTTATTTTAATGATGCCGCGCAAGCTCGGATAATTCAATTCACTGATATACTCTATCTTACACGGTTGGCACGCGAACGAAGGTGTTTTTGTAATGGTGCATTTTATGAAAGATTATAGTTCACTCTCTCGGATTATAACGTGACTACTCCGTATGTGTCGCGCCATATTTAATTCATGGCTCTAAATCATAACCGCTGCCAGGCAATTTGCGAAAATGGGACAGCTGTCGTGCGCAGTGACGTAATTATTCCGACGTTGATGAAGTTTTCATTAATAGATTGTTGGCATTCGCGGAAAAGTGTTCGTCCTCGCGAATGTAAAACGAACATAATCGATATCGTTCGAATATGAATATGTTTGGAATCTTAATGCATATAATTATTTTAAATCGGCTGGGATATATTAGTCCGCAATTTTAAAATAGAGACGTGAAAGCGTTATTATGAAATTTATATTGGGAGAAAATAAACGTTAGACATGAGAGCGTCTGATTTTCAGCATTTAATTTAGTGATATCAAATAAATCAAACTGATTAAATAAACAAAAAGTGTTAGATTCGAGTTTAGCGTAGATATAGAATAAATATGAAAAGTAAATGCGAGTGAATAATTGTTTCTTCATACATGTGGCGCTTTCCAACGTGCGACTGTGTGAGACGTATCGGTTCTTGTATTAAGAGCCGGTAACGTAGAGCACATTTTAGTTTTCAAAAGATACAAAGGAAGAATTAATTTAATTTTTTTAATATTTATGCACTTTTGTCATCACTAATGACTTTTCACCCTTTCATGGTTAGAATTAATTTTTACATTTATATTTATTAAACAAAGTACTCTTTTATCGACACTCGAGAGTTAACTAGTTAACATACATCCCTAAGTATGTCGCAGAAGTTCAAAAGTTCACGCGTGACAATAATTCACTTAACTGGCAGGTCAAATTACGATGTATTAAATACTGGTTCGCTTATCATAGTCTATTATATTGGACAGTGTGACCGATTACAACGTCAAGCGTGAATCAACCATGAAATAGATATTAAATCAGTAACCGATCTGAGCAGCTTTATAGTTGTTAATAACTGGCAAATTGATAGCAATTATGGTGATATTGATTTGGTTTTGAAACTTCATTGTGTGAAGAACTTTATGTGTAAGAATACATAAAAATTATTTATAAACCAATATGAAGCAATTATATTAATTGTTGTGAAATAACTTAACGAATTTTTATGTTTCTATTTAATGAAAATAAGAATAGGGATAAAAAACGATTGTTTTACGATAATCTTCTTATTTTATTGATCATTAACCACTAAACTAATAATACAACTTGGCGATTTATTTTCTTTAAAATTCTGTGCATCGATCAATATATGCGAGTACGGTATTTACATTGTATGGAATAGCGTAATTTACGCTGATTAAAAATTGTACATATAATCTATAAACTACGAACTGCTTCAAAAAAAAGTGTATTTGAAAGATAAATCGCTTAGCAATGTAAAGCACAATGCAAAGTATAGTTTAACGTCAAAAATGATATACAAATGAGGCAAATTTGTGTTTGTTAAATACATCAATTCAGAATTCGGAATATATATAATTAAAATTTATAAAGATTCCGAATGCAGTTGGATTTGAAATCCGCGCGTGATTTTTGAAGCAGTCTCTATTATGCGACGAAGGTACACAAGATCACGTTTTCAGGTGGACGTATTAATATACTAATACTTGGAAGTATACAGAAGTTCTGATGTCTTGTACTTTGTAAAAATAACTGTACATTTTACAACACTATTTTAAATTCTATACAATCTAAATTTCCACCGTGGATTTGTGCATCGCACGGCGAAACGTTTTGCGAAAAGCGAGTATAAATAACTAATAGAATGTTTCGTGACGCCTCAACTCGCATTAAAACCGCAAAATTCTTCGATAGAAAGCACTTTATGAACTTGACACATGAACTTTCAACAAACAAATTTTTTTTTACGGTTAATAGTTACTTGTTACAATCGATGTTTCTAGTTTCAACGTGATGTAAATTAGAGAGGCGGAACATATGTATATACACCAATTTATGCGAATGTCGAAGCAGTTGGGTTTCTACGTATGGAATTCTACTTTACATTGCACTTCTTGATTATTTCTAACTGTACAAAATTAAATGAGTTAGTCGTGCACATCAAGCTCCACTCGGTGAAGTAAATCCGGTTCTGAAAGGAGGTTCAATAATTAAGCAATTATTGAAGCTGTCAGTTTGCGAATAGAAATCATTTTTTTCTATAGCTACCATTTCGACCTTCCTCAACATAAAGACTCGCTCTTTGAGAGCGCCTGTTTTCATTGGAGTATCTGATTTTGGGCTCAATCCTATGAGCCGGAACATAGGTGGGCGTGGTAAAATCGTCCGGTTCTTCTATGATGGGAGTGTTCGATCTCTTCCTACAAACTACCACACCGATGATCACTCCGATACCAATGAGGACCAACGCTGCCGCGCCTTTAAAATTCAAAATTAAATTATGTACTCGAGAAATAAATTTAAAATAATATATATTGCAAAGAGGTGCAACAATAATTTAAAATCTAGAAATTTAATTTGCCTAAATGTGGCAAAAATTCTAAAACTCTTGCTTTTAAAAATATAACTCTTCTTTATAGAAGACAAAAAAATAATTGAAAACTGCATGCAAATTTAATTTTTGCGAAAGAAATGATTAGATTTTAATCTAATTTTAATCTCATTTTAATTCGCACATCAATTGCAAAATAATTAGGCGAAATTATTAGATTAGTTAGTTTAAGTTATTGTATAAAAAGCCAGCAATCTTGATTTTACCTGTACCTGTCAGTGCGATCACAATAATCATGTTTTCAGAACTGGCTTGCGATAGCGCCTTTTTCAGGTCTTCCGGAAAAATCCCATTTTTCTCCATGTTTCGAAGAGGTTCCACGACTCTAATATGTTCCAAAAGTGCGGGTTCACTCTTGCCGCGTCCATTGACCGCGTAAATGTAGATCGTATAATCGTATCCCGGTTCCAGATCATGAAGTTGAAAATTGGGGGTCGGATTCATTTCTTTATATATGGGCGGCGATTCCTCGATCATGCCCTGGTCGCTTTGGAGCGCCTGAAGAGTGTGAGGATCGATTTGGCCGATTGCGGCATTTCCGGGGTACCCTCGAACCTCCAGCAAAAAGTGCTGCGGTGACCCGCCGTCCGATCCCGGGATGCAATTTACCTCCAGCGAATTGCTCTCGTTGTGCAACGAACAATCCGCTGGCGGTTGCGGTGGTTCTGAATGATAAAAAAATCAATGTTTTAATTTCCAATTGTAGAAAAACGCACACTGTGCGCGACACGCGTTAGCCAAATCTAGCGCTTAAAATTTTGTAAGAAAAGATTTGGCTCGTAATTGTCAGAGAATATTCTTTTATTTAATTTTATTTGGTAACACAACAACTAAAGTATAACATATTTTTATATTATTTTATTAGGGAAATTTAGCTTCTTGCTGTAAAGTGAATTCGCAGAGGACAATGACGTAATTAATAACGCAATTAAACTCACTAGCAGGTACGATGTTGAATATACAGGGTGCCCTTTGCCGTCCGATGCTGTTGCTCGCCCAGCAAGCCAGCGTGCCGTAATCGGTATCGGCGCCGGGTGTGTACTCCAGCACACTCACGAGCCCTTTATTCTCGACCCTCGAGTTTGGCATAGGCAAAACGTCGCCGACAGTGCCGTTGTAGGTCCATGAAAATCGCACGTAATCGTCCGGCAGCGCTTCCACTTCGCACTTGAGCAACACCGTCTCGTGTCGAGCGATGGTGATCTCTCTCCTCTCTTTACCTTCTCTGCACCTTGGTGCATCTGTCGAATATTCGGAATTGTTAGAAGAAAAAAAACAGGAGGAAGATATGGGAAGTGTCAGTGATTTTCGACCATTTTTTATTTATTTCGACAAATATTTTTTAGTAATTTTTAATATTATTATCGCGATATTTTAGTTAACAATTGCAATATTTTGTAAAATCCTGAAAAATATCCGAATTAAATTGCAAAACTCTGAGGTAATCAAGTTAGATTATTACGAATGCTGCTGTGCCTGGTGCAAAAACGGTTTACTACAAAATCTCGTGGCGCGTTAATAAATAAAAGCGACTGTTCTCACATTTCATGTGAATAAAAAGCGGCGGACTGTGAGTTTCTCCCACGACGTTCGCAGCCACGCAGGAGTATTCGCCGACGTGTTTGAGCGTGAGCGCTCGAAAGGTCAACGAGTTGGAAGCTAGCAAAATTCCGGCATTCACGTCGTGCTCCAGCCGTTGGTTCTACGGACAAGAACGCGAGAATCCGCGTTGCGATTAATCATTTTGTTGGACGAATAACTAAATGTTTTTCTTACTTTTACTTACATCGTGGTACCAGATCACTCTCGTCGGTGGGGGGTTGCTTTGTACGTCGCAGACTAACTTGAGATCGTCGCCTTCCCTCAAAGTGTCTAACATATAACCAGGGGCCAAACGAGCAGCAACTACCGGAGCATCTGTTTGCAATTCGAGAAAGATTACGTCATTGTTTATTATGGTATTCGGTTTCGCAACGATTGTGACGATTGTTTTAATTAATTTACGTAAAATAAAAAAATACGTAATAGGTCATTAAAAAAAACATTTTTTAATAATTATTATAACAGATAAACTAGATTATTTGTCATTTTGATTAAAGAAATAATTAAAAAATTCTTAATTTTTAAATCTAAGGAGTTAATAGACGAGTATAAAAAATATTTTTTTTAGAAAAATAATCTACAATTACTTCACACATTTTACTATTAAAAATTTAGAATATTGTTTAATTGAAACTAAATTTTAAAAATGCAAACGTTGTCGAGCTGAAAACTCACAAGAGATGTGAAGCGTTTTGACTTCTTCAAGTACACCTCCGGGAAATCTCGGATTTTCGGCTCGGCAGACCAATTCCTTGCCGTCGTCGTCCTTATTGAGGACCAGAGCTAATTTGCTCACCGTTGAGTTACTTCTCTGTGTGGTGGACACGTTGGGATCACCTATTACGTGTTCACCCAGTCTCCAGATAATCCTGGCTGCTGGAGAACTGCCCCACGTTTCGCATCTGGCAGCGATCGGACGACCGGCAAAGATCTGATCCTCGCTTAGAACGATCTTTACAATAGCTGGTTTAACTAAACGCAAAAAAAAACGATGCGAATTAATAACAGAAGATTAAATTTTATGAAAGAAAATATTGAGTCTCTAAAAATTTTATCCTTGCGGTATTTCGCAATATTTTCTGTTTTTTTTCCTTGGCTACTAGATTTTAGATTCCTAGTATGAAAAAAATCGTGACAAAAAGTGCGTGGAAGTCTAACAAGGATAGATTCCTTGCTTAAAAATTTACATCTGCGGATGTAGACACGAACGATCCCCGCTGGATGCAAAAAATGATGACGAAAATAACAGTACGAAAGAGGACCAGATGCTCGCCGCCCCGAATCACTATATTTTTACTTTTGGTCGACAATTCCGCGAAATGTGACCGCCAAAAGAGTTAAGGAGGTCCGTGCAAAATCGTTGGAATTCATTTCGCTTCCGCCGCGGGTCAGTTGCTTGCAACTATATTTAAATTTCTTTTTTCGTTGTGGAATAATGAGATGCGGAAAAATCCTGAACGGGAAAAAATTAAAAAAAGAAACTGAACAATATGGCAAAACACAATATCATTTCTGTTTAACTAAAACATGTGATACTTGAAGAATTTATAAATTTTTTTCAGACGATAGAAAGGAAAACGTAAAAAGCACGAGGAAAATATCTCACGTATAGTAAAATTGAACAATTTTTATCAAATATTTTAAAAAATTATTCAATAGTTGTTACAAACATTAATTGTTCAAAATTTAATTTTTATGGTTGAACAGAAATTATAAAAAATAACATATATTTCTTTAAATTAAAAATAATTTACTCTTCCGATAAAAGAGCTTAAAATATATGCTTTTTTTAGCTTTTAGATTGAATTACAACCCTTCTGACGATTGCAACAAGTGTTTTCTTTATGGGCTGTTGTAGGTGCAAAGTGTGGTGGTTTTCCTGTTTAGTTTGACCTAAAAATAAATACAAGAGAAAGGCGGACGAACGGAAGCGCGACGTGTCGATCGAATAAAACGTGCCAAGAGTGGCTCTTTAACACGCGCCGCTTAAGACCGCCTTTTAGCACGTGCTTAGGAATCGAGGGAACGGCCTTGAAGAGTGTGAGTGTTTCTTCGATTTTATTTTAAGCAGATGTCACGTTAGCGCGGCATTTATGATCCGCTTCTTCGAAATGCCGCCCTTTGCATTTCATCGTCGCCCAAACGTGGAAAAAATTGAAAAAAGTGTTGGAAGAAGTGCTCGATAGGGTGCGATCGTCAAGAGATTTACGAGTTCTTAAGGCCGTAGTCGAAACTAGCTAAACAGCATTCGCAAAGTATATTTTGTTTCTGCTAATTAAAATTAAATTTTTCAATCGATTCAAATGATCTGGAAATTATTTCAACATAATTCGTGCAAGGCGTGTAATGCTTACGATATATGTCGAGAGGCACTTCGCGGACGATAGGCTTCTTCATTGGCTCGGATTGAGTTCGACATTCGAGCTTTGTTCCCCACAGTGATCTCGTGATTTTGTCGATGAACAGGTGGTTTACCGTAAATTTGTTCGAGCTTATAGGCGGAGTATCGATCACGCCATCTAGCAGCTCGCCATCCTTCCACCACGTTACCCGAGGCTTGGGTATACCTGAAGCAGTTTCAATTTTTTCATGAATGAGTTTTTAGTACAGATCTTTTTAATTGTATGAATAGTACGATATATAGTAAAGCGGAATGATTGCATTATTTGTCCACAAATAGTGTCAGCGCGATAAAGAATGATTGAAATTTATACGAGATAAAATTGCGGATTACCTCCAGACACTTGACACGTCAGAGCAAGGTTGTAACCCTCCAGAAAGGGACCACCTACCCCTGTCACTTCTCGTCCTTGAGCGTCATATATCACAGGCTTACTTGGTTGCTCTGAAAGAGTCAAAAATGACGGTATAATAGTACATCATCACTCCTACACGTGTTACACTCTTTGACACGCGACACTTACCGATTATAGTCAAATTCACGAGGAAGTTTCGCGTCGGCGAGTTCACGAAGTCCACTCTGCATCTAAAGACCCCCTGGTCCGAGAACGTCACTTTCGTGACTTTTAACTTTGCCGGTTGACCGTTACCGACCTGGAAGTACGTTCGTCTTCCGATATCGTCGCTGACTGCCCAGTGAATAGCATTGGTCAAGTTACTGTTCCTCGCGTCCAAGCTGTAAATGGAAACAATATGTCAAATTAAACTATTGCGATGGTAATCAGATTAAATTTTTAACTATTTTTTAAATGCAAAGTTTGTATTTAATTGTGAATTTATTTTAAAACGCGTAATTTGTTTTATACAATTTCATAAAAATATCAAAAATTATTACTGTCTTCTTTAAATTAATTTAGTAAAAGTTCTAGGATTAAATAACATTTTTACTGTTAAATATTAATATTTTTTCTTAATTTTGATATAAAGAAATTAAAAGAATTTATAACTATAAGTTGTTATTTCTGGAATGAAATGAAAATTGCTTGAATTCCGTTATACAGGAAATATCATTTAATGCTCTGGCGCCACTACTTCATCCACGAAGAGTGATCTCGCTAATTTTCCATCGCAATGTTTAGCATTTCCGGTACCAAAAGTCGGTAAACATCCCGCTTTCGCCAATTGGCGGTTCCCGGTAAACTCGTGTGCATTGCGCATCTATTCGCGGCCGAAAAAAAGAATAGTTGGCAGACGTAGCACGCGGATTTAGATTTCCCTCAGCTTTATAGAGCTTGACGATTGCGCAATATCGGGAACAGGAAATTGTTCCGGCACACGGTGGAAAAATGGTGGCGACGGAAAAAGCGAAACTGTCAAACCTGTTTATCGCGCGTCGCATGTGATTCGCCACTGATATACGGGTGATGACGACGGTCGTTGCCAACTACACCGTTAAAAGTCAACTCAACAGCAAAGGAGGATGGAAAGTTCCATCTCGTGACTCGAGTTACATGCCGTAAAATTGAACAGAGGCATCTTCTATCCGTTGAAACGAAAATATGACGTTTCTTCGAACGCGTGAAATGTCCTCCGCTACGAGGAATTTAGAGATGTAAAACGTGAAAAAAAAGGCCAAACCAAGTTCACACACGCCTTCGATGAATTCAATCACGACTCGATCTTACAAAATTGTTAAAACGAATTTTAAGCGACATTCTCGTTTACAAATTATTTGAATTGCAAATAAAATTATTCTTTATTTTACATACCACAATAAAAAGTATGAATATTGCAACGTTTTGCTAACAGACATTTTTCCTGCGTCGTCGTAGCGCAAATTCTTTCCGATTCGCTGCTTTCATCCTCCTTTCTTTTCATCATTTTGCGATCATTTCAGTAACTATCGGAAACACAAGTCTGCGAGAAGATTCGCGAGAAATACCACAGTAGAAGGCAAATAACCAGAGTCTGCTTTATGTTCTACTCTTACAGCTTATTCGCGCTTTCCTTTGACGATCTTTGTTGCTCGCTGTATTTCTTTTATGAAAATCCTTTGATATTACGTGAAACTCTGTATTCTCTTGTGAGCCTTATAACCATCGCGTTTTTGATAAGCACTTGCTGACAGTTTCGTGCTTATATCGCATCGCCCACGCATTGCAATGCGCTTTCATTGAACTTTTAGTCGTTCACATTTTTCTCGGTTATTTCGAAAACTTTTGTAAGAATCATAAAGCTTCTTTTACAAAATATTGATTTGTAATTTAAAAATATTTGACAGCATAATTATTTTATTTTATACGCATTTTTGTAATTATTTTAAAAAGTTAATTATAATTTTTTGTAATAGTTATCAGTTGATACACATTTTTTGAGCACACATTTTTCTCTTAATTTCTGAAAGATTTTTGAATGAATGTATAATCCCTATTTTTTAAAATAGT